GGGGGTAGGATCGTATAAACTTGCTGAAGTGTTAGCTGACTAAACCCCACACAATACGTGTTCTGCAATATTACAAGAGAACTGGTGGGCCGGTTTTCGCACAGTAATCCCTCACTCGGAGGTGGTCTGCATTCCAGTAACCCCACATCAGGAATTCCTGTCCCCACCCTGCTGGCCGCTCCAGAGCAGGATGCAGCAGGATCGGGGGGGGGTGGGCAGGGCGAGGCAGTCGGGCCACCCCAGCCCAGCCAGTCCTGGAAAGGACACGGAGCCCAGATTCCTGGGAACACTGCTTTTCCCATGTTTTCTCCTGCTCCGCTGCTGGAAGGATGGAAGGAATCTGTCTTTTCCTCTCTCCTCTCTCCTCTCCCATTCACTCTCTCCCCTCCTCTCTCCTCTCCCTCTCCCCTCCCTCTCTCCTGTCCCCCTCTCTTCTCTCTCTCCTCTCCCTCTCTCCTGTACCCCTCTCTTCTCTCTCCCCTCCCCCTCTCCTGTCCCTCTCTCTTCCCTCTCCCCTCCTGTCCCTCTCTTCTGTCCCCCTCTCTTCTCTCTCTCCTCTCCCTCTCTCCTCTCCCTCTCTCTTCCCTCTCCCCTCCCCCTCTCCTGTCCCTCTCTCTTCTCTCTCCCCTCCTGTCCCTCTCTCCTGTACCCCTCTCTTCTCTCTCTCCCTCTCTCTTCTCTCTCTCCTCTCCCCCTCTCTCCTGTCCCTCTCTGCCCCTCTCTCCTCTCCCTCTCTCTTCCCTCTCCCCTCCCCCTCTCCTGTCCCTCTCTCTTCTCTCTCTCCTCTCCTGTCCCTCTCTCCTGTCCCTCTCTCTTCTCTCTCTCCTCTCCCTCTCTCTCCAGTCCTCTCTCCTCTCCCTCTCTCTCCTCTCCAGTCCCTCTCTCCTCTGCCTCCAGACCCTTCAGAACTTCCGAACGGTATCATTTTTGGAGCTGAAATTCACAAGGGAAGGGGTTCGGCTTGTTAGCAAGAGCTCGGGAGTCTCTTTATTGAGCCCCTGAGCACGTCTGGAGGCCCACAGGACCGGCCTGGGGGGAAACCGGGTCTGGTTCCGCTCGGAGCGGAGGGGGGAGAGATGAGCAGCGTGCCGAGCCCACAGAGCCCCAGTCAGCTGGCTCTTGTTTTCGCTGCAGTGTGGAAGCTCTCCCAGATCCCCCGCCCCCCCAGGCTAACACCCCGCATTGTCACAGCGCCGCTCGAACAATAGGTCGGGCTGCGGGCGGAAGGATGTGCGAGCAGCGCGAGCTGGGCTTTTACCTGTGACGTCAGCCCCTTTATAATACGGGCTCACACCGCTCGAGCTTAAAATTCATTTCTGTTGTTTTTTCCCCCCACGAGCACCGTGCGGAGCGAACGGAGGGGAGAGAGGAGGGGGGGGGCGACATTTCCCCATCTGCGCATCTGCGGGGTTAATTAAACCCGAGCGGAGAGAGAGGCAGCGAGAGAGCCGCACCGACACATCCATCTGTGGGAAAACAGGACGAGGCAGCGGGCTCGGTGCGCGAACAGCGCTCTGCAGACACGGCCGCACAGAGGAGGGGCGGACTGGGCTGGACGGGTCGAGTCCATTTCCCACGGCTGGCCTGGTTTAACCGTCGTCACGAGACGGCGCTGCACCTGACCGCGGTGGTCAGCGGAACCGCGAGGGGGTGAGTGTCCGCGCCCCCGGGCTGGGCTCGGTCCGGCATGCTGGAGAGGGGCTCTGCCCAGCGGCAGGAGCTCGGAAAAACACCCGGAGTCGGACCCCGCGCCCCCCCACCGCTGGGGTGCCGTGTGCGAGACTAATCCACAGACCCGCAAGACCGGAAAATAGGGCGAGGGGGAGACTGTAATGGACTCTGGCGCCGCAGTGCCTGGGAAGCGGCGCTGTGACTGAGACTAAACTGCACTCCGCGCGCTCCTCTCGCGGCGAACACAAGGCCGGGGCCCCCGCCGATGTGCGGCTGAGCCGCGCGGCTCCGACATGGGCAGCGGCGACGCCGAGCGGGCGCAGCGCGAGCTGGGCCGCCTGAGCGACGAGGACCTGCTGCGCAGCTCGAAGGAGGAGCTGGTGGCGCGGCTGCGGCGCGAGGAGGCGGACAAGATCGCCGCCCTGCTGCAGCGCGGCCGGCTGATCGCGGAGGTGAACCGGCAGCTGCAGGGCCACCTGCTGGAGGTGCGCGAGCTCAAGGCCGTCAACCAGCGGCTGCAGCAGGACAACCGCGAGCTGCGCGACCTCTGCTGCTTCCTGGACGACGACCGGCTGAAGGCCAAGCGCCTGGCGCGCGAGTGGCAGCTGTTCGGCCAGCACGCGGCCCGCGTGCTGCGCGACGACCTGGGCGGCTACCTGCAGAAGCTGGCGGAGCTGGAGCGCCTGCAGGGGGCGCTGCTGCGCGAGAACCTGGACCTGAAGGAGCTGTGCCTGGTGCTGGAGGAGGAGTGCGTGGGCCGGGCCGAGGGCAGCCCGGCCGGCTCCTCCGAGCTCAGCCTGCCCTGCCTGGCGCGCGACCTGGGCGACGGCAGCTCCAGCACGGGCAGCGTGGGCAGCCCGGACCAGCTGCACGCCGCCTGCTCGCCGGAGGACTGACGCGGCGGGACGCGGGACTGCGCCCTCGTGCGCCAACAGTGGGTGTTGTGGTCGTGCTGTCGTTCCCCGGGCCGGTCTGGGCCGGGCCGGGTGTGTTCTGTGTGTGACTGGCGCCGGATTGTTACTCGAGGGCTGAGGCCTCAATACATCTCTCTGACCAGTCGGGCTGAGCAGCTGCTGTCCTTCTGTGGGCGACGGCGAGGGCACCCTTGGGTGGGGGGGGGGCGTGGGGTACTGGCCTGGGCTGTGGAGTTGGCGAGTTGCACACAGTAACCCGGGGGGGGCTAAATGAGACCCTGTGTGTGAAATACTCGCTGTCCTCCTCTGCAGGCCAGGCCAAGGGGTGCCGGTGGGCTGCGGGTTCGGTTTTGAAAGCAGCACAGCAGCGGTGAGGAGCCATCTGACGCACGTAGCTCATCCGGCAGTTAGGGGTTAATCGATCCCAGGACCCCAGTCGTGTGTGGAGAGAAGCCAGGGTATCGGCTCCAGCAACATGGCTGGGCTGCTTGTTCCACCCTCCCGCCTCCCTCTGTGTACAGTAGTGCCTCCTGTGCTGCCCAGATCTCGCCCAGCTGTGTCGACTGCTGGGCTGAGTCAGAAAAGGTTCGAACAAGCAATTGAGTCACTGGCCGGAAGCCTGGCAGGGCGTGAATTCACCTGTTTTGTGCTCACGTGTGGCCTTGTACACGAGCATCTACTTCTGGCCCTGCGAAGCACCGGCTCCTTGCAGCAGTGAGCTCCGTGTCCAGCCTGCTGCTCGTTCAGCCACAGGAAAGGACACCGTGCCCCTGTCCAGCTGCACTGAGCGACATGTGGACACAGGTCCGGTCCCGTTAGACCAGGAGGACAGCTGGTCCGGTGGCTCAGGTCCAGTCCTGTTAGACCAGGAGGACAGCTGGTCCCGTGGCTCAGGTCCCGTTGAAGCAGGTCGGACGTGTTCAGTCCCAGCTAACTGTATCCAAGGGGGGCGTTAGTGTGGCCAGACTACAGGACAGCCGAGCAGAAGCTTGGAAACCCATTCAGACTCAGAGGTTGATTAGGGACCCTGTCCAGCTGCCCCTCGCCTGAGACCTGCTAACTCAGGCCAGGCGCTGGGCCCGGTCCGGGCTCTCCTCGCGCTGGCCACCGGGCCCACAGACAGGAAGTGTGTTCCAGGAGAGGGAGGAAGCCGGCTTCCTGTGACATCACTCTCTCTCGGCGCAGGATGTCCTGAGGAAGAGCCACAGGCCGCCACACCCCAGACACCCCCCCCCCTCGAGCGAGCTGTCCACCGACACCCCAGCACGAGCAGGCCAGCTGGCCTTCTGCCCCGAGGTGCTAAAACAAATCAGATCAGCTTTCCTTCGCTTTATTTTCATAACTCAGCTTGCAAAAACACAAACATCCATAAATTTCAGTCATATGAAAATAAGTTATACAAAAATATCTTTTTCTGCAATAAATATATCTCTCTAATTTCTGATTTAGTAGGTGATATTCTGTAAAAAAGGTACAAGGAGACTCTAGCGTGAGACTCAGACATGCGAGTTGCACTCGGGAACAGCTTATAGTGAGGCCTGTCAGTGAAATCAGCGAGATTAGCAACCCTAACCCTAACCCTGCTCTGACTGGAAACATCACACACAGGCAAGGGGCCCTCCAGTCCGCCCAGCGCGTTTATTGCCCAGTTGCTAATTGGTGCGAGGATCTCCGATCCCGGTGGCTCTCGAAGGAATCCGGGGAAGGGCCTCCTCTTGTCGAACCCTCCCACCACCCTTTGTGTAAAGGCTGCTCCAGGAGCGAGGATGAAATTCCCGCCTCGACTCTTGCGGCCCTGGCTCCCGATCCGCAGAGCCTCCGGATCCCGGTCCCCGCCTTGGGAAGCCTTTCCCCGTGTTCCCCAGCGACTCCGCTGCCCCCTGCTGTCGGCGGGGAGAGCAGCTCGGGCTCGGAGCCGTCGCCGTGGTGACGGGCCGGCTCACAGCGCCAGCAGGGTGGGTGAGTTCAGGGAGTCGGACGACTGCTCCCCGCTGCTGCTGCTGCGCCGGTGGGCGGCGCCACAGGGCTGGGCCCGGGCGGCGGGGGGGGCCGCGGCGGCGCCGGCGCCGGAGTCCAGCGGGCTGGGGGGGTAGGTGAAGACCAGGCTGGCAGTGAAGGGCGTGAGCGAGGGCGTGGTCAGCAGCACGGGGGTGTGCAGGGCATCGGCGTCCGGCGCGGAGGACGCGGGCAGGCGGATCTTGGGGGGCAGCCTGGTTTTGGGGCGCCCCTGGGTCTGGGCCGTGGCGGAGGAGGAGGAGGAGGAGGAGGAAGGTGGCTCCCTGGCTCTGGCCGGCTCACTCTTGACCGGGCGCAGGGCGGACAGCCCCGGCGGGGGGTCGGAGTCGGAGTCGGACTCCTGGATCTTGCAGATGGGCCGGTGAGCCTCCAGAACCAGCTCCAGCTTCTCCTTCTCCTTCTCCAGCTCGGCGATCTCCTTCTGCAGCCGCGACTTGGCACTCTCCAGCTCATCCGTCTCCTGAGAGAGAGAGGGGTCACCACTGACTGGACAACACTCACTGAGAGAGAGGGGGGTTCACACACACACTGACTGGACACTCCAGTACATGAACACTGCACTGAGAGAGAG